CTAAAGTACAACATAGTACCTCATTCCATGCAGATTGCATTTCTAGAGACGGTTGAACCAGTTTTACTACTACTATTATGTACTGGTGGGTGAAATTCCAAAAGTTCGACAGTAATCAAACTACAATGTAATGGTTTACGAGGATGCTTAGGAGAATGAAATGCAGATCTATGTCAATCGTGTTTTTTTGTTTTTAATAATCTTAGGCGAACGGAAATTAGTAGTTGTTTAGATCTTTATTCCTGCCATTGGATCTTTGCAGGGCATAAAACGACAATAATTCCATTGAATCCCTACGCAGTCTGGAGGACGATAAATTTGTCTGAAGTTGTGGGTCACAACTCGCCAGTCCACTACTCCGTTCACATAATTAATCTTGGTCAACATGACAGCGACACAACAGAAGGTTTTTTTTTTTTTTTTGGAAGGAATGCACGAGAAAGTTGAAAGGTGATTGGGAATATAATTCGGAACAATAAGGTGGTATTTTTTGTGATTAGATGTATGTGAGATAAAAAAATAATTAAAACTATAAAAATGTGTTTATAATATAAATGAAATATTATTTGAAAAAATTTTGATATCTGAACAAAGCCAGTTATAAGCCCTTGAGCAAATAGGTAGGGTTGAAAAATCAATTAAATTACTCTATATTTAAATCAAACTCGACTCCGTGAGAACTCGCTCGAACTTGATTCGCTGACTACTCAAGTCAAGATTGAACCGCATTTTGTATTCGATATCTTTTAAATTCGATAAAAAAAAACTCATTTAAATTCGATTCAATAAATAAACAAAACAAACTTGAGCAAAATTTTGAATTCGTTAAAAAAATCAAATAAACTTGAACATTAGGATGTTCGATTTAATTACGTTCATTTTCACCCGTAGAAATAAGGGAGCGATTAACGGCTCAACAAGGCTTTGTCTGGATTATTATATCATAAATATATTTTTCAATCACCTATTTATTTCATATATACCAAATCACAAAAAAAGTAGAATTAATTTTCTATATACTAATAGTGTATATACTTTCACTATTAGATACATAACACATAATTCAATTTTAAATTTGAAACCCAAATTATATATATCTATATCGTGCATCCAGTCATGATAGTGTATACATTGTTAGTGTATATAAGATTTACTCAAAAAAATACTCCATTATTGTTCTAGAAATTTTTTCTAATGGAGTTCTCAAAAAAAAAATTCCAAAAACTTGCAATCTAAATTACAAATGCACTCCCATAGCCATTCCTAATTTGTTAAATATAACTAGGAATTTACCATAGAAATGGCGTTTGAATCTCATTAATTAAACAAGGTAAATTTTACTCTTATTAGGTATTTTAATTTGAAAAAAAATGCACTTAGTGGCTTAACCCTTACTTTTACAATAGTTGTAGACAGCACGAGCACGCTCAACCTTTTTTGACCATATGGTTTTTTTTTTTATGTCAACCGTGTAAGTGGTTAGTAGATATATAGATCTGACTAAATTAAACAGGAGTTCTGACACTAATTTTTAAATTTTTTTTAACTACAAATAGAATTTAAATTTTTGACCCACAGTCTACAGAGAAAGGTAAATCCCTTCTTTACAGAGAAAGTTAAATCCCTTTTTTATAACCATTGAGCCAAAGCTCACTGGTTTTTGACCTTATGGTATATGTTTGGAGTTTTGGTCGATACAACCCAAGAAAAAAGGGGGAAAAGGTGATGTAAAGTTGTAAACGCGCATACCAGGTACATTTTGATTCGACTCATTTTCAATAGATTTTCAAGAGCTACCAAGTGCCGAGAAATAGTAGAAGATGCACAAGACTAGAAATGCGAGAGAGGATTTTTCACAAACAAATGGTGATAGGTTGGAAATGGGAATGCTGTTGAACAGACCTTTTGTGGCAGTGCTGCACTGCTAGCATAGGGCCACCAGTCAGTATTCACCAATGGAGCCGAGGAAGCAGAAGGATTCCCTTGAGCATGTGAATTTGTTGCCTTTTTCTTCGGGTCCGGACAACTTTTACCCCCACTGACCCTCTGACACCCCTCGAATATTGGGCTCCGTGCCATCATCAAACTTGATGCCTCCATTTTCCACAGTCCACTAAACAGAGCCCCCGCCCCTCCCCCTCCCCCATCTCCCAGGCACTGCCCCAAAATTCTCCTCCCTAAATCAATTCCCATCATAATGCTTCCGGTACCTAGTACTACTGCTTGGTTCACACGAGCGGGCAAAAATACCCATTGATCAAAAATTCGCTATGTTCGCTTTGGCTCTAACCATAAAAAAGGATCAGTCCTTCTTTGAATAATAAATCGGGATTTCAACCCCATCTGCATTGAAAAAAAATTTAAAGATAGCAGAATACTTTTTTAATTTAGTCATGTTCTTGTATCTATTAACTCTTTATATACAGTTTCTTTAGACTCTCCTCCATATAAATTAGAATAGATTATGTTATAAAATTATTATCGTTGCCATAAAAAAAAAGATCCTATTCAATTCAAAAAATAGGATCTATTAGTCCCTTATACACAACCTGTTTAGGCTTTAGATTAAGATATATTAAATTATAAAAATATTATCGTTATCGTAAAAAAAAAAAAAGGATCCTATTCGATCCAAAAAATAGGATGCTTGATTTGTATTATTTGATCTAATCAAAAGAGTGTTGGGTAACCTCTTTTATGTTGAACGAGTTAGGATTACAAGATTAAAAATACGTGGGTGCTCAACGCGTCCCACACATATCTATTATTTATTTTTTATTTTCATATACATATTATAAAATAATAATTTTAGAGTTAACTAACTAAAAATATGAGAGACTATAGTTTATTTACAAGATTCATTTGTAAATATCATAAATTTTTTTTATGAAATAGCTTAATTGATGTGGAATATATATTTAAAAACAAAGTACTATCTATTTCAAAATTTCATTGATTTTGAATTATTTTAATTTTTTCCTTTTTATTATATTCTTTTTAAATGTTTGTTTTTTGGTAGCAGACTTTTTTTTTTGAGAAAAATCTTTGTTGAGTCTTAAATGAATATGTAAAATACAAAACTAAATTAGTATAAATAATTTTAAAAAAATAATGAGTGAGGCTATGCGAGTACTCATTGACCTAATCCTTTTTCAGCAAGTATCTGATAACTGGGTACTCGTTAATATGCAGAGTAGGTGAGAATAATAACATGACTGATTCACAACATACGCGTCGGATCAACCAAATAGTGCACGGAGTGGGTGTCCAACCGTTACCCACTCCCTGTTGGTTCATTTTCGCTACATTTAATTTCCTTCCTTTTTGGATCTTTTTAACGAGTGTCTAACGAAAACTCACTAATACATTTAAATTACATCTAAATTATTATATTAATTCACACACTAACAATTATTACCCTATTTTATATTTATATATTTTTTCTAATAGTATTATATTTTCAAAATATAAACACGTCACATTCATCTTAAAGAACACCCAATGAATATAATATGAACATCTAACATCCATATAAAGAATGTCTAATGAACACCAGTTAAAACATGCATTTTTTTTATTCACAAATATTTGACACTCCATTCATTTTTTTAAATTAACATTTGATTTGATTCACCTTATCTAACACTAGTAATTTCAGCCCCCCGGGGTTAGATCACCCGGTCTGCGGTTGGAAAACCACTCGCAAGGTCGTGGGATCGAACCTCACCTAACGCCTGGGTGCAGTTGGGGTGGCGCTGTACTCCAGGCGCAGGGGATTAGTCGGGCCGCCTTCGGGTCTTGACCCGGACACCCCTGTGTTGACAAAAAAAAAAAAATAACACTAGTAATTTCATTATTCGTATTCGCAGAATTGTTGCATGCCAGCATAGTAGTAACACGTTCACATGCACAATTAAATTTGTTGCCTAAATCGCACTTTGCAAGTTAATCCCTCTGCCTCTGCGTCTCTACCTATCACCACTGTACAAAATAAGGGATAATATAAGAAAACTCCCTTGAGGTTTCTCTTAATATCACTTGATAGATTTTAACAATATTACTTACCTCCCATAATAATTATAAAAAGACTATATTAACTCTCATTTGACACATAGTTTACAACATATCAAATACATGGATCTCAAAAATAAAAAACAAGAAAAGGAAGTCACCTTCTTCCTTTTTTTCTTTTTCTTTATCGTTCTCTCTTACTCATATTTTTTGAATGACTATGCAATATTTTATTTATAAATTATAATAAATTAAATTTTGTTTATCTTTTACTTTTTGTGATTGTGATAAAGTGGGATGTAATTTATTTACTTTTTTTGAGTTGATTTTTGTAATGATTAGTACAATTTAATAGTTTGAGCAAAGATTATGAAAATGTTGAAAAAAATAAATTCATAAGAAATCGATTTTGAACATATAGAATTAAATTGATGTAAGTGTATTTCTTTTCAAATATTTTTATTTTTCAAATTTATATATTATGGGGTATAGTATTGTGATGTGATAGTACAATAATAGATTATTTTTGAGGTGATGATTTTTTTGAAATGAACAAAGTGGTTTAGAAATATTTTTATTTAGCAAGTGTAAGGGCAATTTAGGATTTTTAAAAATTATGTTACACAAATAAAAAAAGTAAAAGGGGGTAGCAAGTGATGTTAATAGCTAGTTTGGGAGTTCAGATTTCAAAGGAATAGAAAAGAAAGGAAGGGAAAGGTGGACTTTTCACGTTTGGGAGATTTAAGTGAGACGGAAAAGAAAAGAAACGAACGGATCTTGAAGAGAAGCCAAGCGCTGCTACAGTGCAAAAATTTTTAACATAACACTCTAAGAGCCAAAGGCGTTACTGTTCATTTCTTTTGGTCGTCGTCACGTGCCATAAGCATGCCTTCAGTATTTTTTTTTTTCGCGCGAAGCGCGGGTTGTCAGCTTAGGGTTAGACACACAAAATACTTCTTTCCTGACTTTCCTTTCCAAAGCCTCGCCGCCGCCGCTTTTCTTTCCTGCCTTTCCTTTCCAAGATTATAATGCCAAAATCTTCAGTACGTTTAAGCCTCCTCGCTCTTTGCTTATTTTCTTGTAAGTTTGTAGTTTCCTTACTCTTAGTTTCAATGCCAAAGGGGAAGAGAATAAAAAATTGAATGAAAAGAAGGAGATGGAGATTTCAGAACCTGGTGCTAGATCCTCCAAAGCGTGTGGCCAGCATCATTTCTAGCTCAAGGCTTGGGACTTTTCTTTGTTTTTCCCAAATTTATTCTCCTTCGTTATATATATTTTTTCTCAGAAAGCTCCTTCATTCTCCGTTCAAATCAGATTATTTTTTTATATTATTGTTCCTTATTTTTCTTACCCTTTTCAAATCAGGTGGCTTTTTTGATGTGGTTGCTCTTCATCTTTTAAAAAAAAAATCTACAAGAAACTGTTTATCCTCCGTCAGTTCAGGTAACTTTTCTACAAGACCTCCCTTTGCCCCCTCTGTTTATTTTCTTATGTGTTTATCTTTTTTTTTTCCTTTTTAAAATGCATAGAAGCCCTTTGAATTGGGATGTGCGAAAGTATTGATGCGTTTCTAAAGGGCCTTTGAAAGATTTATTTCTATGCAGCAAACTGAACAATATGAGGCAAACAGAAATTTCTAATATAAAGTGCTTAATTTCTATGTTTTATTTACTTTTTTCCTGTACTTCGTCTTTTTTTTAAAAATTTTCTTTTTGGTCAATGACATTTTTGGGTTTGATGGAAGCCTTTGAATATGATGGCGAGGCTTCTTCGAAATGCTTCTTCTCTCGGATGCCTCTATTTTTGCAACCTCTCTCTCCGGTAATTTCCCCACCAAACCAGATTTTGTTCTTATTTTCTTTGTATTTTTGGAGAACAATTTGGTTAGGATTAATGATAGGTAATGGCCCGTTGTAGAAATTTGAAGCATTTTTTTAAAAAAATTTCAGCTTTTTCTCAAATATGTTTTTCACAGCTTTGTTGAGTTTCAACATTTTTACGCTACCTTGTCTTGTTTGTACTATTCTTTTGAAGTTATAGGTGTAATATAGTGTTTATACTTGTTATTAGCAGTTGGAAGCTGCGAATAAATGATTATAATATTATTTCCTATCAATTACGAAAGCCAAATGCTTTACTTTGCTAGCTTGCAGAAGTTGTTCCTTGTTTTTAAAATTATTGAACTTGCATACTGTATAAAGAAAAAGTCTTTTGTTTGATACGTTTTCTAACATCATTTTTCAGTTAGTACTGCTTTTCTTTTTTTATTTTGTTTCTCATTTTCTTCACGAGTCATGACATGAATTTGTTGTTTGTTGATGCAGACTTTATAGGAAAGTCTTGTTAGGGGCATACACTCAACTCTCCTACTTTTCCTCCAAAAGGTACCCGAAGTTTATTTTCCTGCTGAACTGACTTGCATTTGGTCTTCATACCTTCTTAACTTGGTGATCACTTTGATGGGTTTCAAAAATAGATAAAGTAAAATAACTTTTGCATATAAAGTCTATCTTTTTAGGCTTTAGCCCCTTCCCAGTACCAATTAAAACTAATACATATATTTGCTTAGTGTTTGAATACTTCAAACATCTTGTTTATTTAATGTGGCAATTGCATGTTTTCCCCCATATTTTGGGGTTTTCTGTTCACTAAAAAATTATAAAGCACCAAAGTATGCAAGTGTATTACCATATTTTAGCCTTGTACCTCCCTCCTAGAGTATTTTAACATTAAATGCATCATTCTTAATGTAAAAATCACTTGACCCTTTTCCCCCATGTGATTCTTTGAATTAGATGAGTTCTTTTAAGTATAGCTCTTTTGCTGAAATTTGTTGAGTTTGATATTTTTTACATTTGGCTGGGATTGTGTTATTCCTGCTTGAGAGTACCTACATTTTGCTCTTTCTGCAATAGAAAAATATCAATTGTTTTTTTTGGCTTCATTGGTTCATTATGAATATAAGTCTTTTTTTGTATGGAAGGTAGAAGAAAATCCAAGTCAAACGTCAAAGAAAGATTTGGTGCTCAAGTACTATCAGATCACTGCATCATTTGGAAAAGGTTCTATCATGTGGCTTGGCCGCTCTGCCCCTGTCAAACAAGTTCCAGTTGTGTCCACAGCTTCATTTGCTTTGGATATTGCATTTGGGATTGGAGGACTTCCAAGGTTCTATCATGTGGCTTGGCCGCTCTGCCCCTGTCAAACAAGTTCCAGTTGTGTCCACAGCTTCATTTGCTTTGGATATTGCATTTGGGATTGGAGGACTTCCAAAGGTTGGACATCTTATGTGTTTCTTATGCTGCAATGCCATATGTTGATTTTGAATTATTGTTTCAAGTGCACTAAACATCTGCAAATTTCTAAAGAATCATATTGACATTGTTTTAGAGTGCAAATATACCGCTGAAAGGACTTCTCTCTATCTAATTGGGACTTCAACTAATAGTTGCTGTAATTATTCTTGATTTGAATATTTACATTCTGATTTATCAGTATTTGCAGTTTCCAAACTGTATAGCAAAAGAAAAGCTTTGTCTTGTTCTTGAAAACCTTCACTGAAATGGAAGCTTTTAAATTACTTTGTATCACTATTGGTTTCTGTTAACCTTATCATTTTGTATTACTATTGGATCTGTTTGATGTAATTGGAGTAGTGCATTTTGGCATCGGGCAATATTAGTAGTTCCATGTCCATGGGAGATGTTACCATCCCCAAGCAATTCACTCAGGCTGGCTTATGGGATTGGCTCATAACTTCCATTTCTTGTTTTTAACATGAATACATGAAACTTCGTTATACCTCTATTTTCGTCTGATTTACATGAATATTTTTCCTTAGCAGAAACTTAATGCGACAATCCTGACAAGTGATTTTACTAAATTGGATTTTGAATCCTACAATGGGCCTTCCAGAGGATATAATCAATTGGGGAGCATTGGATACAGCACTGAGTAGTTCTTTTTGAAGTTAAGAAAGCAGCAGTTTCACGTAAGCAATAATTGGCTTAGATAGCATACACTCATCTTGAGGTATAGGACTCGATACAGTTCCTTCTCTTCTGTGTTTTTCCTTTTCTTTCTCAATTGAAGATTAGAAGTATAGGACTTCTTTATGATCAGTTGCATTTGTTCTGTGTTTCTGGAGTCTGAAAAACCTTAGCAATTATTAAGTGTCAAATATTAAGTTTCAATTATTATAGCATAGAAAATTTCCCTATAAAGGCTTCTATACAAACCTTGGTTTTGCCTTTATAGGTACAGAAATATCCCTTCATGATTTATAGTTTCTTAATACTTCTTATCATATGCTAAATGAAGAATTGAGCTATCAAACCTTAAATTTTTCAGTCACAAAAGATTTTAAATTTTAGATCTAGAAGACACATTATTCTTAGATGAGAATATCTAGAGCTTCTCCAAGGATAAAAGCAACTATGCAATCTAACTTACATGTCAATGCCCCTCTAACTTTTGGAATGGAGTATTGTTTTAACATAACAAAAAGATGTCCTCCCTATAATGAATAAGTTTCCACTTTGTTTTTGCATTTCAGGATCATTCCATTGACTTTGTGTTCTGCCCCTTCCTTGCTCCTCCTCCAAAAAAAATAATAATATAGTTGCTATTTCAATGTTTCACTTTTACGACAACGGAATGAGTTTCATGTTTGGATATTTTGGAGTTAGCACTTGTCGGATTTATCTTTTGGATTAGAATCATTTGTTGCCAGTTAACCTATTTCCAATTTCTTCCTTTGGGTGACATACATGGATGGCCATACTGCAATAAATTGCATTCTGAATTCTTTTAAGTTCAATTTTTTGGAAATAGCAGAATAGCTAATTTATCTGCTTTGGTGGAATTATGAGTTACCATGCAAGTTGCTCTAACTTGACAACTTATAGGATGCTTTATTTCTCATTTCTTTGATACTTAATAATGGACAGAATATATATCATGCTTCTCTTAAGAGGGGAAAAGCTGGTTTAAGATTTTGTATGACTATTACAAGTTTTAAAGTTGTCGAGGTTATCTTGTTTATTTTGGGATCAATCAATGTCTCCTAACCCATTTTCAGTTTCCATGCATTGGTGACGAGATCCATTGCTAACTGTAATGGAATATATACTAAGATTTTATCGTTATAATTTCATGATTAGGTTGTCACGGGAGAGCTTAGCAAATCTTGCCATGGGGACAGCAGAAACAAAATTGCTTTTGGATAGGGGAAAGATGCATTGTGCGTTTCAAGCTCTATGCCAATGTAATTAGTTTATCATGAAATTGTTATAGGTTTTTTTTTGGTTAATCTGTAACTAAATTCCATCAGACACAAACAATTCCATTAAATGGATCCACTTTGAATATGTACAAATCATTTTATTACACTGGGCATCTGCATTTTTTTCCCGCACTATGCTAATACGCGGTTTATGCATTAAACTAGGGAACTAGGGTAAGTAGGGTCATGGGATCGAAAAGAAATCATGTATCTATGGCATTATACATTTCACATCTAATGTATAGTATTTCTGCAAATTTCAAATCCTCTTGTATCTGTAACGATATTTCCTTTTCCAAAACAAGAGAACAACTCGGTTACCGGATTATCTTGTTACATTTATCCCACACTTTTCTATTGTTAATCGATATGTATAACTTCAATGTTAATTTGTATCTAAAATTACTTATCAGCAATCCCAACTACTATTTACATAATTTTAATTCTTTTATGGGCATTTACGTTTTGTAGTCCACCGCGCGAAGCGCGGTTTATCTCTCCTAGTCTGACCAAAACGGGCGGAAAGCGAAGGAAAACTGATGGAAGCTTACAAATTTTTTTTTTATCCTTTCTTTTCTCACATAACTTACCCTTTCTCTTCTTTTCTTTTCTATCCTCAACTCACAAACTAGCTATAAGAGAAATCTCAGAGGAGGTTTCTGATATTATCCCTTCAAATAAATTACCCATTAAAGTACTTACTTGACCACTTGAAATAAAGCTGCCCATCCTTTTCTCCTATAAATGACCCTCCCCTGTGACCAAGAGGAGACCTAAACCAAAAGAATTGCCGGGACACTCCTCTCCACTACTTCTGTTGTCCTTTTTGAAGCCCTGCACGTTTCCTTCTCAGCTTCTCACGAGCCTCAGGCCATGGATGCAATGCTGAGAAATCTTCTTGCTCTCCTCCTCCTTTCACTTCACTTATTAGATCATTCAGGTACAACACATTGTTCTTTGACAAAGAAATTTTGTATCCATTGGACATTTTTCATAAATGTACTGTCTTTTATCTTATAAATATATTTTCTTTTACTAATGAAAAATGCGCTCTTTCTTGCTTTGAATTCTTGTTTGGGCTGGAAAAATGGTGTGAAACAGTTGAGGTATCAGCTACAACAATGACATTCTATAACAAGTGCAGCCATCCAGTTTGGCCAGGGATTCAGCCAAGTGCAGGGAAGCCCATTTTAGCCCGTGGTGGTTTCAAGCTTCCGCCAAACAGATCATACTCCCTACGCCTCCCAGCAGGATGGTCCGGCCGCTTCTGGGGTCGTCACGGCTGCTCTTTTGATGCCTCTGGCCGTGGCCGTTGCGCCACTGGGGACTGCGGCGGTTCTCTCTTTTGCAATGGCCTTGGTGGGACTCCTCCAGCCACCCTAGCTGAAATCACTCTAGGCAATGACCAAGATTTCTATGATGTTAGCCTTGTTGATGGCTACAATCTTGCCATTTCCATCACCCCATTCCGAGGCTCAGGTGAAAAAATAGGCCCTCAAGCCCTCCAACAATCCAATCCTGTCCTCTACTACTTTTACCTTTCCAACACTTTGGGCTTGCAGGAATTTGTTCTTTCATTCTTTTTTTTATTTATTTATTGTGCATTTAGCCCTCTGATCTTTTTTGTCCGAACTATTAAATGACAGCTTGCTAATCTTGGATCTAATACCATAATAATGAAGACAATAATGTGGTCCAAACAAAACCCTTTTGGCTCAAAATTGAACTTTAGGGGTGTTTTATTGTGAAACTGTTGGAATCTAAGAAGTCATGAGTCATTTTGTCAAGGTGGTCTTTTTGTTCATTTCTGTTGTTTGCTAGTATTAGTTTAGTTGTGACCAGTAAATGATGTTGATTAATGGTATTATTGTTACTATAGGCAAATGCAGCTATGCTGGATGTGTGAGTGATCTGAACATGATGTGTCCAGTGGGGCTTCAAGTGAGGTCTCATGACAAAAGAAGTGTGGTGGCCTGTAAGAGTGCATGTTTTGCATTCAATTCTCCAAGGTATTGCTGTACAGGTAGCTTTGGGAACCCACAATCTTGCAAGCCCACAGCATATTCAAAGATCTTCAAGGCTGCTTGTCCAAGGGCCTATTCTTATGCTTATGATGATCCCACTAGTATTGCCACTTGCACCGGTGGAAACTACTTGGTCACTTTCTGTCCTCACCATAAGTAATTAGTTCATACTCAGTACTGCTAGATATACTACTACTATTTAGGTCTCTACTGCAATTCTACTCTGTTCTTAGCTTTAGTTGGTTTCTGGAATACGGCTATTATCTTGAGATATATTGTACTAGTCCAGCAATGCTTCTGGCACTTGGCATTTGCTATTCATAATTAATGTTACCGTAATATATGATAGTTAGTAAATCTGCGTGTTAATCTTGGATGTCCCTTTGTGTCTCACCAGTATGTTCTGAAATTCTGGTATGAATGCTACTACAGGAAGATGGCAAGATGGGGAAAAAGGAGATGCATCGACTAAAATATAACATGATTCCATATGTGACATAAATTGAATGGGCCAAGATTCAAGAAGGAAAAGAGAACAAAAATGCTTAGGTCCCGTTTGGATTGCATTTTCCGTCATTTTTCATGGAAAAAATACTGTAGCGATTTGATGTATGTGAGGAAAAAAGGTAATAGGGAAATGTGTTCACGGAAAATGATGAAATTTTTCTACGGAAAACAGCAATCCAAGCAAGGCCTTAATTTGCTAAAATTGCTTCACTTTCTAAGTAGTACAATCTTCTATGCCATTAATTTTGCAAAATTTATCGGGGAGCAATCAATGGTGCGACTATTTAGGCTCCTAGGACCGTAGGGGTTAGTGGAGGTGTGCTACAAGTTTTAGGCCCAGTAGAAGAGGGCAGGGTCACATCATCGACGGCAAATTGGGCTAAGAGAAGATAATTCTGCTTGTGGCACCGCTACCACTGTTGTGTTTCTATTCTAGTGCATGTTCCGATATTCATCTACGGCAAGAATTCGGTTCAGTCCGATTCCAATTCATCCCGACATCATTCGAGACTTGCGACAACTTTGTACTTGACTAGTTTTACAAGGTTGTGATAAAAAGGTTTTTTTGTGGAAGAGATGAAAAGGTTAAAACGTGTAAACACCAACTGATTGTTTGGTGCAATCTCTTAAATTAAAGTAACAAAAACATTGAGTGTGTTTGGATTGTAAGTTATTTGTCCAAATATATTTACTTACATCACCATTATAATTTTTAATACACCTTTTTATCTTTCCAATTACCTTTTTATCTCACGTATTGAAATCTTTCTTCTCTTTTTTAATTTTTCTTATCTCTCACCGTGATTGTCAATTCAAGATTTGAATCCTGAATCTAACTGTCAATTCAATTTAACTGTTAATTCAATCTAACTGTCAATTCAAGATTTGAATCCTGAATCAACAGCAAAATCGCTATTGTCAGATTCAAGATTTGAATTCTGAATCTAACAATGAAAAGAACTCTAACAGTTATTTCTTGAGCCTCTTAGTAGTTATTTCTTGAGCCAACCAAGCGGTTCATTGAAATTGAATATGACCATCACATCTATGTAAAATCTCGAAAGTTAAGAGTCCATTAAGCTTGAGGGTGCCTCGTGATTAATGAAATGAGTCTTTTTTTCTTCTTTTTTTTTTGGGTCACAAGATGACAAATTTTCCCATTTTAGCTCCAAAATCTTCAACTATTACATTACAATTGACTCTGAATTAGAGCTGTAAACAAATCGAATCGAATCGAGTATCTCATGTTTGAGCTCTATTCGTTAAGCGATTCGAACAACGTTCATGTTTGTTCGTTAATTTTCGAATTTCAAACCTGTATTCGTATTCGGCTCGTTAAACAAAGTTCGTGTTCGAGTTCGAATTCGTGTTCGACTCGTTTAACATAAACAAGCTGTTCGCGAACATGCTCGAAATGCTCGAATCCAAATTATTTTTAGTCTTTAATATACCATGCAAATCATTAATCATTCTCAAAAACAATTAAAGCAACTAAGTGACTAAATTCTATTATTCATTAACTATATAACTAATAACATAAAAACAATAAATAAAACAAAGCAATTTGCTCTCCAAATATAAAAGTCCAGCCATAAAATTAACCCTAAAATTTGTCAAATGATAATTATGTCCATATTCGTGAGCGTTTGTTAAAACTCGCGAACATACTCGTGTTCGCGAACGTTCGTTTAACATGTTCACGAACGTTCGTTAAAACTCGCAAACATGTTCATGTTCGCTCGATTATTAATCGAACAAAAAAATTTGTTCGAACTCGATTCGTTTAAGGTTTCGAGCGAGTCTTTCACGAATACGAACGAGTCGAAACGAATCGGGTTACCAAACAGCTCATTCGTTTAACAGCTCTACTCTGAATACACTGTTTAAAAATATTTGATCCTCCTATCTATTCCACATTTTTACTATTCCATTACCTCTTAGACTTTTGGTTGACTGCAATTTTTTCTGACTCCTGGCTATCGGGGCTTTTGAGCCTCCAAATCAAGTCACCTATAAGGAGCCCTCATGGGGATGGGTCATCCCCTGACCTCTTCCCAGTTCCCTTCAAATGGGGAGTTCCGAGTTCTAACTCGTAATCGCAGGATGCACCTCCGCTTCATCTCTTCTCCAAAACCTCCGTTAAACCCCATAACTCTCGCAGCATCCCATTCTTTCTTCTCCACATTCTCCCACCAGGGCCAAACCGACCTCCCAAACCACCTCAATATCAGCTTTGAAAACCATGATAACATCGATCAAACCCCAACCAATCAATCGTACTGGACCAAGCACATTCACAAGCTCTGCACCGTTGACCGGGACGTCGATTCTGCTTTTCACCTTCTTAGTCACATTTGCCTTCGCGGGTACCGTCTCAATGCGCTTAACGTTAGCAGCATTATCCACGCTTTCTGCGACGCCAACCGCTACGCCCAAGCTCACCACCAGCTTCTTCTCTTCATCACCTCCCAACCCGACCTCTTGGACGAGCGAACATGTAATGTCCTCATTGCCCGTTTGCTCCACGCTGCTACCCCGCATGCCACGTTGGTTGTGATTCATCATTTGATCAATGCCAACCCAAATTTTGTTCCTTC